TTTCTGACTCTCAGCTAGTCAGACAGCAGCAGATAAAAGTCAAAGAGCAGTGAAGTAGTGATTCATGTCAGCCAGAGCATTTCACCAGAGTGAGGATCCTTAGGCTCTATGGAGTCTATTTACCCATAAATACATAACTAATGCTACCACAGCTTTGTGGATTGCTATGCTGGAGCTTTTTTCAAGACCTGTTACCTCCCAGGTAAGTCCCATATTAACTGTCTGTTTTTTCTGAATGCATCTAAATTCTGGAGAGGAGCAGGATGCTACCTGCTTTGTAACCTGAAGATGCTACGTGGTCGTGTAAGGAAATGACTGTAGCAAAAATGATGACTTAGGCTATGGCTTCCAGAAACTTTGTAAGTCTTTAAGTCACTGACTTGGAGTTACTTATTCACTCCAGATAGTGCCAGTAGAGTCATGGCATATTTCTCTAGGGAATATTCACACACAATAAATAAAAATAAAAACAAATTAAATATTCCTAATTACATTAACTGATAGATTTCATTACATTGCTTTTTGTAATTTAAGCAAATGTGCATTCAAAATACTTTTGAATTCTACTTTATTTCCTCATTTGGTGCAGGTCACTACAAATCAAGATAGTAATGAAAAAAAGCAAGTTAAACTAAAACGAAAGCATTGCATAAAAAAATATATATTTCTAAGTTTCGGGTACTTAGCTTAAGTCCATATAAACTTGGAACGTTAACAGAAGTTGAGTAGAGATGTTTTTATCATTGAGATTTTAACATCCATAGCATGATGCTACAGACAGTTTTAATACATAAAAAGTTAGGATTTGCTTCTAGTATTAAGGAGTTTGAAATGCCGAAATGATATAATTAATGATGCCTTCAGTTTGACTAAAAAAAAAAAAAAAAAAAGAGTTCTGTCTAATTAAAAGATTCACTGAAATTGCACAGCCATTGTGGGGGGGAATGGCTGTGGGTGCTTGCTAAGTCCTTTTACTGGACTGACTGCTTCTAAGTGATACAGTTTTTTGATGCTGATGATGTCCATAAGACAACAACAGCCTCCCTAGGTACCCTAAATGATGGTAACATGGTATAAACCAGGGATGAATTGGCACGGATGTTTTGGTTCAGATGATATCTCCAGTTCAGGAATAATGTGTGAAGTTGTGCTGTATTGTATGGGCAGGTTTCAGGGATTCAGGATCAGTTTCTTTCCAGTCTAGTGCCGCCCTCAAGTTCTTATCTGCTCCTATGTTGACATTTTTTCGAGGTTTTATGGCAGCAGCTCCTAACCTTGCATTCATAGCCTTAAAATGGTCTTTGAAAGCATAGTGTTGAGTTTTCCATTTAAAAGCTGGTAAAATCTTTGACAGTATGTGTTCAATTTCTATTTGCAAAAATAGGCTGTAAAGTTTAAATACCTGTGGAATTCCAGCTGTTCATTGCTGTGTTCATACTGAGTGTGTTGGAGTATTTTTAAAAAAGTGATCCTTCAGTGAGACCGTTTTCAAATATAACATTCTAATGAATTTGCATACAATAGAAAACATTTGGATTTGCCTATATTTTTGCCTATATACTGATTTTTTTTTCTTTTTTTTCTTTTTTTTTTCTGAAGTGTCTGATATTACAGTCTAATGGCAGTTTACATGTGAAAGACAGAGTAACATCTTTACTCAAACTGCAAGGGAAGCTGACCTGGAACTTTTAGTAATTCAGAGGAACCAGACCCACTGAGCTAATTGGTTGTTGTTGATACATGATGAAGGTTTCTGAAGATTTTCCTCTAAGACAGTTTAGGATTCACAGCCGTGCTGTGGCTTGCACATGGAAAACTTTTATTTAATCTCTTCTTGAGAGCAGCGCAATATTTTCTTACTTCCTTCTATTCACCACCCCTCCTGACCCAGTCTTTGTTTGAAGTTCATTTTTATTGAATCAAAGAATGTGAAATGACTTCGTGTCAACAATAATTTATTCCCGTTCCCCAACAATTTCCAGCCACAGCAGGCATTTCTGTATGATTCTTTCTCCCCTAAAATACCTCCATAAAATCTATTCAGTTCAGTCCTTCTCATCAGATATGACGAGTCTAATATCAAATTCTGGCAGACTTCACTGTGACTGTTCCAGGCTGTCTCTTTCTGTCTGCACTACCCTGTGATGGGTGTTGTTGTGCTACCTGTTATTCCAGGGCAGTGAGGGAATGCTTTTAAGTGTGGTGGTGATAAATTGACTGGTGAAGGAGAGAAGATAATGGAGAGACTTTCTTCCTAGATGCGTAACTTTGATGTGCCACAGCCCTGATGCCTTCCACCATGAGAATCAGACTTTCAACTCTCCACCTATTGAAAATCACCACGTGTTGTTACTTTATTGTATAAATACGTGTGTCTTTTTTATACGTCTCTCAACAAACCATCTTAGACGTACGAAGCTCTCGTGTTTATTTAGCAGCCATAGCATGAGCTAGGAACCTTAATCAGTGTACAGGAAAAGGGCAGCGTTCCCTGTTATGGGAATTACTGAAAGGAAACTGCTTCATTTGAAAAGTCTTTTTGGGGCAGTTGGACCAGTGTTGTTGTGGGGTGCAAGAGGTTCCTTGTGAACCTTTTCTTCCTTTTATCCTTTAATAATTCTTTGCAAGATTTTAGAAAATCCTCATGTTGGAGGAATCCTAATCCTACAGCTCCTTTCAGGGAATAAAGCTCTCTACAACGAAAATATGCTTTACTGAATTTTTTTTCTCACTGGGAGAGAGGGGCACCCTTCACCTGAATGTAAGCCTGGAAGACTAGCAATTCCTGAACTATATTTCCTATGCAACAAAAAAAACAACCTCTTTGATCTGGAAGAGGTCATTTGGCTTTCCTGACTCACTGTCTCCTCTGTAATTAGTGTATGAACCGAACCTTGAGCCACACGTGTAATGTAAGTTTCATTGGCTGTTACTGAAAAATTATTACAAATCTATGATTTCTGTGGTTTATTTTATTAACCCAGTTTCTTTAGGCTGACGTAGAAAACAGCCAGCTGGGTAAGGCCTATCTATAGCGTTCTGTGAGCAGGAAATGTTCCATAAACAACAGAATTGTGCAACAGCTGACGTAGAGAAAAGTAGGATTGCCTTGCAGATGTCCTGGCAAACAGCATATACAAACTCTACATGACATCCAGATGTCTGGGGTAGCAAGACAGCCCATCTGCTTGTATGAAACTGCTTCTGTAATCACGCTTTAAACAAACGAGGAATTCTACCAGGAAAGCATTAGATACAGGAAGAATTCCTTGTTGCTTAGTGGATTTCCTATATTAGCTTTAACATCCACTTCATTGTGCAATAAGTACTCATCGTGCACCTGCTTAAATATTTTTCAAGTAGAAACTGTCCTGGAATATTTTTTTCAAAGATCAGCAACATCAGATTCACTTACAGCAAACATCTGTTTCTCAGTGTGATTTTTTTATGTCTATTGTTGAGCAAAGGAAACAAGGATATGCACATAAGTAGATGCAGCAGAAAGAAGAAAGAACATTCAGGAATAAAAAAAACAATGTAGGAAGGAAAAATCATTGCTACAATACCATTATTTAGCAATTATTAATGAATCTCCCTTCTATCACCAAAGGTTTTTACATAGTTTCAGGAGTTTTTCTGGCTTTTGTTGTTCTTTTGTTTTAATAGAAAGTGAATACCACCAGGAAATGTGGGATATTTAACTGCATGTGTAACCTTTGCAGGAAGCAGTTATTTCATGTTGTTTTTAGATAAGGACGTGAGCCAACTGCCACAGCTTGCCTGACAGCATTAGGGCTGACTCCTTTCCCCAGGACCAGGAAAGCAGGTTAGCACGCAGTAGACTTTGGCCAGACTCTGAAGACATACTTGGATGTGTGCCTTTGAACTGTGGCAAAACATTCTATCTCCTACATCACTGCTCCCCTTTTCATAATACAAACGCTTCATTGAAAGACTCTCTTCTTCAGGCACTAAATGAGGATGATTCAAAGCTTAAGCAGAAATGAGACTGAGTCATTATAAAAAGCCTTTTACTGCGAGTCTTGTAAAGTATTGTGAGCATTTTCCGTCTTACAGAGCAACATACAAGATGACAATTATTTATACTAAAAAAATAATTTCCTCATAAAGAACTGAGCCATTGCTGCCTTTGCAGTTTTCCCTTTAACTAATTGTAAAGTATATTCCACAGTCTTCAGTGTGTTTAGGTGATGAAGACCAGCTGAGAGATCAATTACTAAAAAGGTTATTTCTAAAAGTATTGCTGTGTCCTGAACTGTTGAATGCCAGTTTGTTGATGAAATAGTCATTTGGCCATTTATTTTCCCCACACTTCAATCCTTATTTGTTTGTTTGTTTGTTTAATTTAGAATCCCTTTTTTTCCTTGCCTTTTTAAAATTAATCTTAGGTTCTAGCTGCCTTTTGTTTTGGGTTGTTTTTCTATTTTCTTGTTTAATACTAAGGAGACATTTGTTGGCTGTTCTACCTTTTTAAGTTGTATCTACCACCTAAACTTAAGATTTTTAATTATCTTTTGAGAATTCCAAATTGGAGAGACCTGGTGCAAGCGGGAGTATGATAATGCTGTACTTCTTTCAGGGTCTACAGATTGATGCTTGAAAGTACCTGCGACATACTCAAAAACATATTTTTTAAATGTCTGTATTTCTCATATAATATACTTAAAAACACTTCTGTTACTCTGAGCAACTTTCTGGCTTTTGCTGTGGAGAATATAGGCCCAGTGCTAGTGAACAAAAGAGAAATTTTCTTTTAGTTTCTATTTACTCCATTTAGATATTTACTTTGCATGTGAGATATGGACAAGTGGTACTATGAAACTGTCTAAAGCACCAATTTCTAGGTGTTTTGCGGTGTCTTTTTAAAAAATACAGCTATGTAGCCCACTGCTCTACTTTCTTTTATCAAAACCCCACTTAGCAGTGAGCCTGCCTTCCTAATGTCTCTGTTCATCCTTGATATATTTCTGATGGCACAGGAAAGACCATGCCTATGTTGAGAAGTGCTGGAAAGATGTCCGAGTGGGAGATTTTGTGCAGCTGCAGTGTAACGAGACCATCCCAGCTGATATCCTCTTGCTGTACTCCTCTGATCAGAATGGGATCTGCCACTTGGAAACCGCCAACCTTGATGGAGAGACCAACCTTAAGCAACGACGAGTTGTGATGGGGTTCTCCAGCCAGGTAAATCTATGAAACCACAGCCCATGCAGCCAAGGACTGCTCTGAGCAGCAGTCTGACTGCTCTGCAGTTCTAGCCACGAAGTGCAGTAGAGAAGTCTACTTTCAAATCAGAAGACACTCGGGTACTAGTTATGCTTCAGATGGTACATGATTATTTTGTTTAGTCTTTGAGTTATGCAGATACACCGCATCGCCGCGTGCACAAAGCCTTTACACTTAGGAGGTCTTGTTACGTAAGCAGAGTGGAATGCAGTTCTGACCATGATGACCACAGTGTTCAGGAAGGTCAGAGCTTAAATAATCATCTCTATTACCCTGTTATTTAAAATTATTAGTGTAAATAGCGTGTTGATGAAAAAAAACCAATGCACTACGTATGCTACAAGCTGGTTTCAGTCTTCCTGTCTTGCAGCTTGTTCCTTGTTCTTGGAGCTTTGTTTAATCATGATTTAACTGCTCCATAAAACTTCCCAGATTTAACTGCAGCTATAAAATATGACTCTTTAAGGAGAAGAGAATGAACTGAGGTCAGTTCTTCTGTTTAGGAAATTCTTTGGAATGCTGAATTCCCCTACCTTTAAAATACTGAGACAAAGGAAAATTTTTCTTCTTCTAAGTCACTTTCTGACCTGAATTTTCAACTGTAAAACTTTTGTCATCAAAATAAATATATATTTATTTATTTACTGAGAGAGAGAGAGAGAGAGGCAGAAGAATCATCTTGCTTTATCCCTTTTCTATCTAGGAACCTATTGGGTAGTAATAAGCCCTCTAAGCTCCTCTTGCATCTTGCTGTTCTCCCATTGCACAAATGTTTCTAGGGTAATGATAACGTACAATTTTACTCTTGAGTTTCATGAGATGGACAAGATTCCGCAGAGTTCTTGAAAGAGAGTCTAAAAACATTCACTCATGTGAGACAAATGTTATACAAACTGCCCTGATATCCATAGAATCACAGAATGGCTTGAGATGGAAGGGACCTCAAGGATCATCAAGTTCCTGCAATAGGAAGGGCCGCCAACGTCCAGATCTAGTACTAAACCAGGCTGTCCAGGGCCCCATCCAACCTTGAACACCTCCAGGGATGGGGCATCCACAACCTCTCTGGGCAGCCTGTGCCAGCACCTCACCACTCTCTCTGAAGAGCTTCCCTCGAACATCCAATCTAAGCCTTCATTCCTTGAGCTTAAAAGCATACCCCCTTACCCTATCACTATCTACCCTTGTAAAAAGTTGATTCCCATCCTGTTTACTATCCCCTTTTAAATACTGGAAGACTGCAATGAGGTCTCCTAACAGCTTTCTCTTATCCAGGCTGAATTCATCAAGGTGTTTTTCCTCAAATTTATTTTTTAGATCAGATTCTCAGCTTGCTTGTACTTAGATTTTAAACATATATATACAAAATAGAATGTATGTATTGCTCAGAAAAAGAACGAAAGGAAAATGAGACCAGGGCACTGTCACCATGAGGAATTCTTACAGTCTGGCAAAGCTGTGATGAATTTCACTGGGAGATTCTCAAGATTTTCAGTTTCCAAAGGAGCGTGACTTCTGGAAGTCTCTCTTGCTTTAGAAGAAGATATGGAAGCTCAGCAGCAGATCTGATTTCCAGCTCTGAATTTCCTAATGAGAGGAGTTTGGATTCAAGTGGGTTGCAGTTCTTTTGGTTTTTATCTCACAGCAGTAATTATTCTCTTTCATGTTTCTCACATCCCATTTTTATTACATATTCTTAATCTTAAATCAAAGTCTTCAGTATCTTTTCAGTTGAGGAAAAAAGGTTTATGGCAAACGTACCTTTCATGCAGTTGGCTTTCCAGACTGCTTCAAAGAGCCCCAAAAGCAAGCCTTTTCCCTTGAATAAGGGAAAAATAAAGCAAAAGTGTGTGTCTTGATTCAGCTCCAAGCTCTAATTTAGGACATACTTAGCCCAGAGAGCTCCATCTTATTTTATTTCTCCCAGCACTTCGGTCTCTTTCACTTCCTTTCCTTTTGAGGGGATCTTTTGTTTATTTCCTTGTTTTACTGTTAGTCTTTCTTTTAGTCATATTTGAATGTATTCAAATTATTTAAAGGTATGGTCTTATTTTATTTTCGTGTACTGCAGGCTGGTAAAACAACTCTTTTAATATATTTCAAAATCCGTATTAATATTGCAATTATTTTCGTTTGATCTTGCTTTTGCCTGAAGAGTGTTGTTATTTAACAAAAGACTATAAAAATTTGTTACATTTACCTTAAATGAAGGCAGGTGCTGCCACCAACTAGCATCCCTTTTGTATGATCCAATTCCCATCATTTTTTTTAAATTTAGTTTAACCAATTGATAATCCAGCCAAGGAAAGTCTCAGACCTGCTATACCATCATGATACCCTTTTGATTATACAGTGAATTACATTATTTTGCACACTCAAATTTGCTTGTAGTCAAATCGATTTGTGTTGATTAAAAATAAATAAAGCGAGAATTTATTTGAGTGAGTGCTATTTGAGAAATTACAGATGAAAACTGTTGGCAACTTCCAGCTTTGGCTGTACTGTCTGTCTGTGCCTGAATTCACCTTATAGGGAAGGTAAAAAATTGCAGGCAAGCTGTGAACCTGATCTAAGCATTTATTTTTTCCAAACCCTGCTTTTTTGTGAGGTTGGTTTACCAAGCCCATTAGTTTTGCCTCTGACACTGTGTTTAAAGTTTACCTGTTGGTGCTGACACGGCACGGGTGTTTAGCTGCTTTAGCATTTAGCATTTCAATTACTCTGGATTTGACACTCCTTCCCTGTGTGTTTCCTCTTGCAGAATACTTCATTTGAACCAGAATTTTTCCAAAATACCATCATCTGTGAAATGCCTAATAATGATCTCAATAAATTCAAAGGGTACATGTAAGTATTTGTTATCCATAAATGTATTGTCTATCTCAGCTTTAATGCTTCACGTGGGGGGATATGGATGGAAGCAATGCCTTCTGCAGAAATTGGTGGACATTACTATTATCTATTCCTGGACTCAGAAGTTAATAGATTATGCAGACTGGAATTTGGGCTTTAAGGCAAAGAAGGACAAAGGCTTGCCATTGAATTCGCAGTTGCTTTATACAAATTGTTCTCACAAGGTTTCAGCTCTTATCAGAATTCTGATATGAGTGCATTTGTGTTTGACCTGAGGGTTAAGCTAGGCTAGATTTTCTATGTAAATCCTTTCTAATGTTTAAAGATATCCATCTGCATTGTTCTTACTTCTCCATATTTATGGCCATGGGGAAAAGGTATCCAGGATCTGACATACAAACCTAATTTTTTCTTACAGCTGAAAAACACAAGTAAGCACCAAAACTCTAAATTAAACCAATGCATTAGAATAGTGTATAAAAAGTTTACTAGTAGCTAAATCAGTAGTTAAAGTCTTTCCAGTGATGCAGTGAGAATGTTGAACCTGGAAATAGAATAAACCGGCAGATTCTTGACATTAGCCCTCATCATTCCTAATCTGGTTTTGAGAATTTATGTGCTGTAGAATTATACCCAATATAGCAATCCTGTTTTCCCTCCTCTGTGATACCTTAACAAGTTGAATAGGTCAAGTCTGTATTGGTTGCTAGCTTAGTAGACCACTAGGTATCAACTAAATTGAAGGAATCCTTCCAATTAGCCTGCTATAATAAAGCACAAGAACACTGAGATTGTGCAAATGTAGGAAACGTCACAAGAAAACACACAAAAACACACCTGTAAGTTCAGGACTGGCTTCAACATCTTTAAATCTCTGTTGAAAATCTGTAGCAGATATTTCTTTTGGAAATGCCTATTATCTCACCTGCTTGGTGCAGTAGGGAATTAGTTGCCTTTCTCCCCCTGCTTCAAGGGTAGATGAAAGAATTCTGTGGAAAATAATTTACTAACAGTCGAGTTCTGTTCTTCAGTCCTCTTTTGTCTGAGGTGTTTTCTAAACCCAAATGACTTTGAGTAGTATTCAAACAAGAACTGGACTCTCAGCAAAGCAAGGTATGGCCAGCTTACAGTGCTGCTCCAAGAGGTGTGCACCCTTACAGTGCTGCCAGCTTACACTTTTCTCCAAGGGCCCTTATTGAATGTCCATCTTCTTGCTGTAAAATTGCAGCAGTGTGGAAGAACTGTCTCTGCTAAAAATGATAAGCACGAACTCAGTGATATCGGCTTGGTGTGCTCTGGACACAGCAAATGCTGCTGAAAGGGGATGCAGGAAGGCTTCTGCTTAGTGATTTCACCAAGGCTGAAGCTGGCTCCCCAGGATAAGGGACTTCTGGCATTACTTTTTAAAATGTGCTGACAATGACATCAGAATTAAAAGTTATTAACTACTGTAACTTCGTATATGAGATACTTAAATCTCACTACACTGCAGCCTGAGCTTCATACACAGAAAACACTCTGTGATAACTCCCATTATGTTCAAATGCCAATGAAGACAACTGAAGATCTATAATCTGAAGCTGCTTTGGCAATTACACACCTGCTCTCCAACATATAACAGTGACCTTTTCCTTTTTTAACACTGCAAGCCAGAGCTGCTTTGTGTTCTTCCTTTGTAGGGTCTTTGATCAAAGCCATTATTCTGCCATCTTATAGCTATTTGGTGTCTAAACCTTTTTACTCCTCTCCCTTGATGTCACGTTGCCATGTGCAGCTGCAAACAGATATGGGATTGCACACAGATCTAAATAGCACTGAACCTTGTCCCTCATTTAAGTAACCCTGCCTTTTGCTGGTAAATGCAATACCAAATATCCAGTAGAGAGTCATAAAATATACATATTCTGGAAGAACTTTTACCTTATGCTGATATTTATATAACCAGTTCAAGGAGAAAAATCTCAGCTTTGGTAAAGATTTCAGGAAGAGCCTACACAAATTCATAACAGAAAACTGTGCAAAAATAGTTTTCATTTTCAGAGGCAAGTAACCAATTGCCTGCCTGATGGTGTTGATCTTACAATTTTCAGTAAGTTTTCACTTGTCTGTTCTATTAGCAGAAGGAGCAGATGTGTGATGGGACATCCCCAGCCAGGGTGAAAAATCTTCCACTCCACGTGGGTGAGGGAGAAAGCCTCAGCCCAGGTACTCCTGAAGGGAGCTGAGGTTCACAAAGATGAAAAGCCCTCTGGTGGTTATTTGGCTTTTCTGTTACTTCTTACTGAAGACTTTATTGAAGCTGAGTGAAGCACAAACAAATTAGGCTCCTCACAGTTTCTTGATTTCGCCTTGAATTGGATATGAATACAAAAAAAATTGTTTGAGGTTTATCAGAACAGAAAATGAAATTGCTTTATTTATTTTGTCGTCTTTTTATTTTCCCAGGGAACAGCCAAATCATGAACGGATTGGTTTTAACATTGAAAGCCTTCTGCTTCGTGGATGTACAATCAGAAACACTGAAGTTGCAATAGGAATTGTTATATATGCAGGTAAGAAGTACATTCTATCTCACTAAACACAGAATTTCCCTGTAAATATCCTTAAGTAAACATGAGTAGTCTAACCTTGCACCATAATTTGGCATTTAGTTTTAAGAACTGGTAGGTCAGAGGGAAGGGTGCATAACCTTTTGAAGTAAAGGTGTTACTCCCGCATCTCTAAAGCTAAGGAGTCCTATACTGGTTCTCTGACAAGTGACAGTATACCTGTGAGTGTCAGATATCTTGTACATTTATGCAAAGATATCCAAACCAGTTAAATTTGATAAGGTTAGTTTAACACTCAGCTCTGCAGCTCTGATTATAATGCTAATTTCGTCGGTCATAAAATCTTCACTGCTCTCCTAAGAGGGATCTCAATCGCTCCTCAGGGCAGAAACCATTGCAGCTGAAGATCCATTATGTGCTGACATAGACATCGTGTGTCTGTGCGATTGTGCATTTCGTGCAGCAGATGCATAAACCACACCAGACAGTGTCAGTGTCCAGATCAAACGCAGCAGTCCAGGTTCAGCAGTGGGTCAGCTCATCTTTTTCTCAGCTTCTTTTACCTTCAGAGTGTTACCTCTGCTTTTATTCAGCAAGAGTGATTTATCACTGATTTTGACATCTGTGCCCTCTTCCTCTTCGTAAACAGTGTATCGACTTCCCTCCTTACGGCCTCTTCATTTGCTGATGAAGATAGTCAGTTTAAATACAACGATTAATCTCATTATTGGTTACTTTTATCTTGCTGGACAAGTCTCGTCAGGTGATGTATGTATAACAAGCATCAGCGAGGTTCAAGGCTGAGCCACCTAAAGAGAGAATGAAAATCACCATTTTTGCAGGAGTCATTTACCTTAGAATCCCTTCCACAATCCAGAATATTTTATCTCATAATTGGCCATTTTATTTCCTTGCTGTAAAAGAGGATTCTAAATGGCTACAACTCCCATATATATCCACAGCCTTCACTTTGTTAGTCTTTCAATACCTGTCTTTGTAAACAGCACCAGGAAGAATGGTGCCTACCAGACCAAGGGAGGAGAGACAGGCATAGGAGAATTCCAAAACTATCCTGTGTTTTTTGGAACTACTATATAAAAATCTCTATAGGAATTATTTCCTATAGAATTGAAGTAGTTTCTCAGAATTATAGAATAGCCAGATTTAGAAGGGACCTTTAAGGATCATATGCTCTGACCCTTCCTGCCCCATCGTTAGGCAAATCTTTCACTAGATCAGGATGCTCAAAATCCCATCCAGCCTCGCTGTAAACTGACAGGGATGAAGTATCTACAGCTTTTCTGGGAAACCTGTTTCAACCCCTATTAAAGAAATTATCTTCCTTATATTCAGTCTGAATCTGCCCTCTTTTTCCATGAGGGAAAGTCTTTTTCTGTCTGTTACCTAGGCTCCTTGACACATTAGAAATTTGCTATAACATCTCCCTTGAACCTTCTCTAGGCTTAACAATGCCAGCTGTCACAGTTGCTCTTTACAGAAGAGGTGTTTGAGCGCTCTGTTCATCTTCATGGCCATCATGGACCTGCTTTAAGAGGTCCGTGTCTTACCTTCTCATTCCCGTTTTCATTGTCTAGCCATTTCCTAGTATGCTCCTTTCACCAACAGCAAAGATTAACAGAGGCCCACATTATAATGTTGCTTAAGCTGCCAGCTGCAAAGGTTGGAGGTTTAATGATTGCCAAGATGTGGTGTCATTGGTCTGAGTAAGACTTCAATTCAATTTCCCACTGACATCTTTTTGTTCATGTCAGAATAAAAGCTTATTCTTTCTCTTCTAAAATTAGACTCACTTGAGCCAGTAACCAGCTTCATTTCTAGGTTTCTTTGACATTGGTTATATTTTGGCTTTTAATCATGGTCTGTGACCTTTTCTGAACATCCAAAATCAGTCACATTGTAACATGGCACATTCTCCATTTTTATAACCCTATTACTGCTCAATCTTACTTTCTAATGGATGCTTTGTGAAGCGCGGAGCCATCACTTAAGTGATTGTTTAGCCTGTGCAGTTCTCATCTGACCTGAGTAGAGTTTCACCTTTCGTGGGCACCCAAACGTTCTACATAAAGCAATAGTACTAATGCACCAAAGCCACAGTACAGAGCCACGGCCAATACGATTTACCTGCTGTGATGGGGACAGCATCAAGAATTAAAAATGCTTTTCCAGTAATAGAGTACCAGAATGGAAACAAGTTTTAAATGAAGCCATTAGCATCCAGAAATTGAGTGATAATGTAGTGGGGTGTGATAGGTGAGGTGCTGGGTTACACAGCATGTAAATCTGTGAGGATTCTAGGAGAAAAAACAAACCTATATATAGTTTATTCTAATTATTTCTGATATTCATATCTTGCAGACTTATATCCTTATTAGAGGTGTTGGGAAAATTCCTTTTCCTGTTGGGCAGCTGAAGTGGAGGGGAATGAAAGAGGTGAAATTTGGAATTAAATTTCCTCCAATTTCACTGCATAAATCCATCAACATTTCCCTGAGGAATCTTTGAGGGGGACTAAAGGGCTTTGTCCTGAGGTGTTTGTTGTTGGGTTTATTTGTTATTGTTTGTTGTTGTTTTTTGTTGTTTTTTTTTTTTCAACACAAAATATTCCATTAAGCCTCACATAAAAATAAAAGTGAGAAGCAAGATTTACAGAGCTGCTGGAAGAACACAAGTGCAGGCTGTAGTGCTCTCATTTTCTGTGTAACTCAGTGGTAAAAGCATTTGTTCACAGAAGGAAAGGCTGAACGTGAGTGAACCCACACCTCCTGCCTCACAAGTAGTGTCCTGACTTAGCTGACTTAGGAAGTGGAATACGTGTGCTGAAAACGAAGGAGCATTGGTGGTGTGAGTTGGTCCCCCCAGCATAGCTCTGGGTTGTGTAGAAATTGCATATTTATTGGAATGGGAAGCCAAGAGTCCCTGCTCTTAGTGAATGTCCTGAACATAAGGCTGGAGAGTAATTTTCTCTCTTGCTCTCTACCTCAGTTAATATTCTTTGATGTAAAGCTGGAGTGAATCCAATAGCAGTGATTAAATCACTCCTTACTTCCAGCTTTTGGTTCAAATCACTTTTCTAGGAAAAGCCAAAAGATAGATGGGCGAACAGTACCTCTCACACACTAAACACACGTATAAACAACAATGCAAATACGAGACTGCATGGCCTTTATTTTTTATTATAGAAATAAGTATAAAATACACAATTTAACATAGCAACTGATGGAATCCAGGTATTCTATTTGTGGAGCCATGGTTTAGATGATATTAATAAAATAGAAAAAGCAAATTCTGCTTGTTGGCTTCTTACAGAACTCTTTTCTCCTTACAAGTATTCCAGCTCAATTTTAATTCAGTATGTTCTTAGGATTTAGTACGCTTTTTTTCATTTCTTGTCCTGCTGTTTTGTTAGCACTTTACATCCACATGATGAAAAAGTAAATAACATTAGTGTACTTCACTGCTGGACCTGACGTGTTGGATTGTGTTTAAGTTAATACATGAAATGTGTCTAGTGACTCCCAGATTGCTAATGAATAATATTTTCAATATTTTTCAAATGTTGATTCCAGGAACCAGTATAGCACCTAATCACGTTGATTATAAAACTCCAAAATGCAATATTATTATTCCTTTTCCTTCCATTCTCCAGGAGATTTAGCTGTTATGTAGGAGCATATCTGTGCTTCTGAGTCTCGAGTGTTTTGAATATTGGTACAATCCTTGTGTTCCTAGTGAGAAAGTAAAATGTATGTGACAGCTTAAAGCTGAAATGTAATTGAGCTCTTCTGTAAACCCCTACCTAGATTTAGTGTCTCATATATTCTGACATTCAGTCAAATGAGAAAATGAGCAATACAGTTCCTCAATGAAGCTGGAGATAAATTAATATTAGTCATGAGCATCCCACTCCCACTTTGTGAAATGCTTTCTTTAGGAAAAAAAACTACAAAATGTTATGTAAACATGATGATATCCATTTGTGTTTTGAAGGTCATGAAACCAAGGCCATGCTGAATAACAATGGTCCTCGCTACAAGCGCAGCAAGATAGAGCGACGGATGAATGTGGATATTTTCTTGTGTGTGGGACTCCTGTTCACAATGTGTCTTGTTGGCTCTATAGGTAAGAAGCACTGACAAAAATCTTTTGTTTGATTCCTATTTTCTACAATGGTGATTAAAACTGATCTTACAGAGACGAGTGAGATCAGATCTAGGCTTTTGGATTCTAGGTTCTTTGGTCTTATAATGTACAAATTAAAATGGCAAATCTGAGCAATTTGGATGGAAAGAAACTCAGCCATGGCTATAAATATTTCAGATAAGATCCGTCTCTTCTATAGTAAAATATGTGTAAAGCAACGAAATGAAAGCTGTTGAGTTAATGCATAGAGTGTTGCTCTGAAAGTCATGCCTCCTATTTTATCATGTTGGCTCATGATGTCAGAGACAGATGTTGGTGGAATGGCAGCAAAAGTTGAACCTTTCCACCAGTATTCTGTTACCTTTTGCTGCCGTGCAACAAATGGAAGCAGAGGGGCACTGTGGCACACCAGCATCTGACATGGAAGTCATATGACATGTTGTTGCATATGAAGCAAAAGTGTGTCACTGAATTCCTCTATGCTGTAGGAAATGATATCCATTGACTTTCATATTGCTTGTTCCTTATATGACTAAAAAATATAATGGTGCAGCTTTACCTTCATTTCTATAACATTCACCTAAATACCTTCATGGTGACTTTAGCAACCCATGCGCTGCACATGGGTAATTCATTTGGTTCACAATCTCTACAGCTATCTTCTTAAAGGCCTTTTTGGCACAGGCTGAGCTGGATCAATTGCTTAAATAGGAGCACCGCATTTTTCTAGGGGCCTCCCTTCTTGAACACCACAACCAGATGGGGCTGAGATTATCTGACTCTGATTTACTTGATTGATGATCTCAAAGGCCTTGCTTTCTCTGCACAGAAGCACCCACTTGCCCTACTGCTCTGATTGCAATCTGTCCCTGGCAGGTCAGTATTAATGGATCTCCTAACCCTGAGGAGAAGGGCCAGATTTTAAGCCTGCTAAGCTTTGAGTGGGTCACTGCTTTTAAGAGATAACAGAGGCTCCCATGAGAATTTTGTGTTCAAAGCCCCTTTTCTTTTTAATCGATTTCATCTCAGTGATAACTTGCTTAGTGCTACTGCTCTGATTTAGTTTTGTAGAGACAAAGTCAAATCGTGTGGCCCTGTCAAGCCTTCCTGAACCTTCCCCAGAGCCCTGCGATGTGACCCACCAGTCAGTCATCACTGTAACACTGTTAGAAGTAAAGGCCATCCAAAAAGATGAACAATAGAACTGACTTAATCACTTTTTTAATTTTGCTGCTTCATGTTGCAGTGGGCTTTCTTGGCACAGAAATGGGATTTCAGTTTGACAACTGAGCTCCATGTGAGGGAGAGAGAGAGAGACCTCATTTTCATTGTTCCCTGGCTGCTGTCATGTCAATTTAGAACTTGTCTTTGTCTGGTGTGTAGGAGCCCTTGAGTAATAAAGTCCTTTAACTTAAGGTTTGATGTGGTCTCAGATGAAAAAAAAAAATCAACGTTTAAAAAACAATTTATATGCTCAGGTTGAAAAAGAAAAAGAAGAAAGACTTTAAAATATTCATAGTTTAAGTGAAACGTGTAAAGCAGGAACAAGTATATCAACTTTCATCTGTTCGAAAGATCCCATTGCTCTATCATGAGTTTTTTGCAACCTTGTCTGAACGTAGGGCTCCAGGAAGAGACAGTGCTGGTGAATCCATCACTATTTTCCTTGCCCACAGTGAAAAAAGAGGGGGAAGAAGTGAGTTGTACACCATAGCTGTGCTTCCTCAGTTGTGATCGAAGTCTCTAGCAGCCAGAAAATACTGCTGGAATAATTTTAATTCCTTTGGCAGGATTTTAGTAGGCAGATGCTCCAAAACGGCCGCTTGCTTAATTGGTGCTAATAGAAGTTTTATCAGAACTGGACGCATGAAGTGAACTAATAGGGGATTTTGGCAGGAAAAGGGCATCTAGAGCAATGACAATGTGTGGAAACTAAGTCATTTGTGCTGGCTACATGTCAAGTTTCTGACTGTATTAAATTTATGTCTGTAACGGCAATATGAAAGGTGGTAAAGAAATCATGATGGAATGTTGGTAAGTCCTGAACCAGAGACTGTGCTGCAGTAGTGCATTTTGGGAGTGTGAGTTAACTGACGAGGAATTGAGGAAATGTAAAAACCAGCTGCCTGAATTAATTTTTAATTTAATGTTCACATGTAATTACGAAGATTTCAGATTGTCTGTACAGACAGTGATGCATCTTTCTGTTAGAAAGAGGAATAGGAGCCTTCAGCACTGAGGATTTTTAAAGCTAAGTGGCAGAGATGGAGTCCTCCCATGATAAAAGATAGAGTGAGAAGAGATCTACATAGGCATAAGGGCCACGGGAGAAACCTGCTGAAGGACAGGTGGAAAAAAAATCGCCGTGCCCAACATGTCTGTTATGTGCATGTGCTACAAGTTCTGCATATGTTTTGCATTCTTCAGCAGATTTGCAGCAATGCTTGGGTACTTGGTTTGGAAATGTTCTTCTTAATTAGCACTGCAGTCCATATCAGAAGCTTTATCAGTCACCATCCTGCTCAGTGTGTTTCACTATCTTATATCATTCCTACAGGGCATGGCATTTGGTCTGGAAGTTTCCCAGAACACCCACCTTATGATGTCCCAGATGAGAATGGCAATTTTCTGTCTCCGATTCTTTCTGGCTTCTACATGTTCTTGACTATGATAATCTTGTTGCAGGTAAAAGACAAAGCTTCTCTGTTACCTTCAAGGAAGAAGGCATTAAAAACTGACTACAATCAGCAATTAAAAAAAATTAATATCAACGAATAGATTGTTCAGTACTTTCTTGATCCTATTTGGAAATGTTGTGAAGAGTGTTTCAAATAATCAAAGTGGGGAATGCACTATAACACAAATTCTTCGTCGTTGCTTATGAAACTTTACAGATATATATATAGGAAGGAGAGGTATTGTATCTCTGAACAGCTCCAGAGCATCTAAGATACGTGTTATAGAGAATGCTTACATCCAAATATCGGTTGTTTGGTGCTGTTTTTTTTTTTTTTTTTTAGTGGTGGTAGTGGTCTTTTTGCCTACACTCATCATTTCTAGGTAGAAATGCCATTTAATGTCTCAAGAAAACAGTGAAACAAAACTTGTTGTTTTCACCTGCAGGGAATAATAACTAGGTAAGGTTCTGCAGGTTTAGGAAAGAAGCTAAATTAAAAGTAAGGTGCTCATATATGTGGATCTGATTAAGCCTAATTGAGAAAGAACGAGTTATAGGAAGGGGGAAAATCACATTTACTTTTCAGGTTTCTTGAGATTGAGATCTGCTGAGATTAAAGTGGACAGGATTTCTTTGATATGAGTGAAATAAGAAGAGAACTTTTTGAGCTGCTTAGATTCCTTAGGGGCTTATTCTTCATTACTGAAACAGAATATTTGTGCATCTTATGAATTCAGAATTATTTCACGGTGGGAAAGTTATTGGATGGGAAGCACTGCATATAAAGGCATTGCTTGTTAAACAGGTTTACACCAAGAGGTAGTTTGTGCTAGTGTATCATTTCTGAGTTTCAGGAGGGTAAGAGCAGCATGTACCTTGGTCCAGAAAATGTGTTTTTGTAAGAGCATTCTCTGAAAGACTCATCTTTTGGGTTGGTTCTCACTGAGATTTTCATCTCTTTCAGGTTTTGATCCCCATTTCTCTTTATGTGTCCATTGAGTTAGTCAAGTTGGGCCAAGTCTTCTTAATTCACAATGACATTGACCTGTATGATGAAGAAGCAGATTTGCCCATACAGTGCCGAGCCCTAAATATTACTGAAGATCTTGGGCAAATCCAGTATATTTTCTCAGACAAAACTGGAACACTAACAGAAAACAAAATGGTATTCCGACGCTGTACTGTGGATGGACATGAGTTTTCGCATCAGGAAAATGGTAAGGGAGACTTTTCTATGCTTGCTTTTTTCTCTCAGCTACTAAATCTTAATAATTTAAATATTAATATTTCAGCCTCCCGAGCCTTCTGGCTGGGTCAGTGGTTTTGTATCCTTTTTGTGAGGGACTCCCGTTATGGAGACTCCTGAAAGTTTTAAATGATACGGAGGTTAGATTGGGAAGCTGTTTTGGTTTCCTGCACTGCACTTGAGAGTGCAAAGAGAACATTTAATTCTTCATTTCTTAATAAGTGCCAGCCAATCTTTCATAGACTCACAAACTGAGATTAGTTAGTAATCAAGTTCAATGGATCCAGAAGTAATTACCATAGTGTGAAATGAACGAAGGCTCATCTTCACCTGGAGTCAACTCTAGCTGCAGGCTGTATCTGAAGCTTCTTGGCATTCAGCACTGAATCCGAACTTTTGACTCAGACCCCTCCTTGGTTGCTACTTTCTCTCCCTATGCTGTGCAAAGGATTTTATTAAGCTGGCAAGCAGCTGCCAGAAAAATGTGACTGAGAGCATTAGCAAATTTGTGAAACCATATTTCATTAACCAGTTCCAGCCAACTGCAAAGTGCAGTTAAATAGACCTAGCATTAGGCAACCTCCTTAAAAATGACTGATCACTTTGAAGTGCATTTTTGTTTTCTTGCAATAATAAACATTGAAGAGAGGGAGTTGCCAGAAGTTGAAGTGGATAATGAAGTTTTTCTGGTTAGGACTTCAGAGTTGTTTTAGCTTTGGGTTGGTTTATTTCAAGGGTTTTTTAACTACACAAGGTATTTCTCCTGAGCCATGCCAAGAACAGTGTAAGAGGTAAGGTTTTGTTTTCTGTTTACAGCCAAGCGCCTGGAAACACACAAAGAGTTGGACTTAGAAGATGAGGACTTTGCAAAACTTCAGCAGTTCACACTTCCCCCAATGAATATTGAAAGGCCAGCCACTTATCACAGAACCATGAGACCTTTAAGGAGGTCCCAGAGTGCCAGGGCTCACTTTCAGGGGCATACAAGGAGCAGATCACTTGGTCGTCGTGATAGCAACCAATCTCAAGTGGCATTCAGCAGTACCATTGTGAGTACAAGCAGATTGAGTTGGCATGTCTTTAAAGATTTTTCCTTTCTATTGCATTTTCTGATGGAGAGCTGACAGGGAGACAGGAGAAATCCTAGTCCTGGTAGAGCTAAGGATTGTTTCATGTAATTTTAAGTTCAATTTAAGATCCTACTTGTCTCATACAGTTCCTTTGTCACGTAGAAGCAGATATTGGTCAGTGTTCCTCCTGTTCTTGGAATATGGTGGGTCTGTCAGTTGTCCTCACATTTCCCAACCCAGTCCTCAAGGAATGTTGATAACCTCTCTTTGTCTTTTTCCTTTATATGTCTGTGTGATAAAGGAATTCCTTGCCAGATATATTCCTCCAAGATAATTTTTTCTGCCAAGCCTCTTCAGTTTCTTCCAGATTTAAACTGCCCTGGTTGGTTGGTTGGTTTGTATGCTTATTGTTGTTTTTGCTTGAGGCTGTGGGGGTTTTTGGTCTTTTTTTGTCGTTGCTGTTGCTGTTTTGAGGTGGGTTTTGGTTTTTTGTTTTTGTATGGTTTTTGTTTGTTTGTTTGTTTCCATTTTAAAAGCAATATCTGAGGAGCTAGTATCAAATATTTGCTTTATAGAGACAGGTTAAGCTACTGTCCTGGGAATTACTAGCCTTTGCTGCTGTCAGTCTATTTGGAGATATCAGCTAACCTCAGTGAGAAATATGAAGATGCAATAAAAATGAAGACACTTAGGTACTGCTTGGAGACTGCTGTGTGTTGATGTCCTTCAGATGATGCACAGTAATGTCTTTTTTTTTTTTTTTTTTTTACAAAGAAAATTCCCTCATTGTAAAATGGGAATCATAACATTTTCTATGTCTCTATTTCCTCTCCTCTGATGCACTTGCACATTGCTAAGAACAGCTGGAGCATCTTGGATCCTCTGGTTATACAGACAGTATTGTGGGTTTGAAAGTATCTCAATCAAAGTTTCTCATTAAAAATCCATCTTCAAATGCGTGAGTGAAATATTGCTATTTAACTCATTGAACCTAAGGCTTGCAGAGTCCTTATGGATTAATGTTTCTGTTTAACTACAAGCGATGAAGAATTCAGTGGTAGTCAGCAGTTGTCAAATGATGTTCTCACTATGAAATCATGAGGCTCAGATTCTTCAGATCAACAAAATGCAAGTAAAAGCAAAACCTCGCTCTTTCTGAAGAGCAAAGTCCAAAGGCCAGTAGCTGGGTTTGTATGCTTTGTTTTTGACTTTTTTCTTAACAAATGCCAAATTTCCAAGGGTTAATATGCCAACCATTTGGAAGCTTCTCATGGAAATTGGTAGCCTCAGGTAACAGGAAAATTGAAGAACTTTGCACTGCTGAGAGAACATTGTGGTTTTTGGGTAAGGGTTAGCACAGCATCTGCTGTGAGCACCTGCGTATCGGAACTCTTGCCAAGAAAAACATTTTTTAAAAAAAGAGGGCTCTTAATGTGATAACATCCTGCAAAATGCAAAGAGTTTAATTGGAAAATAGCTATGACAGCCAAAGAATGATCATGTACTAATGTTAAAAACGTATATGCAAACAACTTTTAATGGAAGATTATCTATGCAGCAATCACAAAATTTGCTTATTGTTAATCAGCGTTCGGTGGATCAGTGATAACCGGGTTGCACACAGTATTTTAAGTGCGTTTGCACAGCAGCAGTTGATTGTGCCTGCACATCAGTATGTCTGAGGCTTTGTCTCGGTATTCTGAGCCGCCCTGCAATTAGGAAGCTCTACAGCTACACAGTGCATTTCAGCCTGGCTGTTTGTGAGAGTGTTCTCTGCTTGACAAGTTTTGAAGTTGTGCTGAAATCTTAGAATCTCTTATCAATTAACTTGTTCATCTCAGTGCATCTCTGAGCTCAAGATGAGGATGATGGGTATTTAATGGCATTTGATAAAGTTAATTAAACTGAAGACTGCAGATCCTGGAAGAATAACTAAACAGTATAGCTTGTCTTTCCTGGAGTAAATATAACACAGTTATTAAGTGGAATCTAAATTCTATGGCTTACCTTCTTTTTTCCCTTCCCAATATTTCTGTCTGTAGTACTTGTGATCCATGTCAGTTTATGGAGCCTCATTGCATGTTGTTTATGAAGTTCATAAGATAAGATGAATCCCATGTCCAGATACAGCCCTGTAAAATTCACTGGCACAGTCTGTTCATTGGGAAGGTCTTAGACAATGGAAAAGCAAATTCCTAATTTGTTGTTAGCAGTTGTATCTCTTGCTATCTCTAGAAGCAAAAAATAATTAAAAAAAAAAAAAAAATAGAGGTCAACCTTTTTTAGCTGGACAGATCTGTTCATATCCAAACTCAAGCTATTCCAGAAATCTATACTTGAGAAGTGTTGTCATGTCTGTAGTATTATACTGATATCATAAAAAATGTGTAGTGTCTGTGTATGTCTTAAGTTTTATGTGGAATGGAAAGGACAGAAGAATGGTGTAGACTTCAGAAAGCTCTGAAGGAGTCTGAGAGAAACAAATGCAGTGACTGATTTATTCATTTCATAAACGTTTATGAGAACTGTGGAGGGAGAAGGACGAGTCCGTATATAAACTGTCTAATGCAATTGGGAAAAGAACAGACTCACCTGTTCTTTCATATCTCTTGTGAAAATGGAAACTGGTATTTATCCTGCCTGTCTGGACCTCTAAAGACACAGCCTTCAGCCAAAGCAGAAGACACTGCCTCACTTTAGAGGCTTCAAGATGTCACTCGCCCTCTTACTGGTTTCTTTGGGTACCTCAGAAAGAAACAGTGCTGATTTACTTTATTCATGTGATTCGTTGTGGCTGCTGCAACTTCTCAGGGGGAAAAATAGTGTATATATATACCAGGGAGCTATGGTTGACAGAAAGACTTCAGGGAACATTAAAAGAGTGAGAAAAATACAAAATTATGATAAAATTTGGAAGAGAACAGAGCATTAGCATTTACTCTGTCTACCTTTAGATGTCCTTATGAATTTAGATCTTGACAGCACATTTCTTTCTAGATTTAATGGTTCCAATAAAGAGTACCCTGCTATTAGAATCATTTCATGGAGATTTCAATTGTCCTATTGCCATCAGGTTTTAGTGCTATCAAGTAGAAGAAATGCTATCAAACTAATGGGAAATTTTAACAATTGAATGGTACTAGCCATTTTACCACTTCAGCACTTTACTAACATGATTACTATCATTGAAAGTGTGGTAAATTTAATTGATCATCATCACTGATGCTGCTCTGTTTCATTTTCTGTTTTGTTCATTTGCTTTTTCGTTTGTTCAGGCTAATCAATGAACAAATTTGTTTGTCTGAATTCTTTTATCTGCTGACATTTCATAAGGGTGAATGTAGGAAAACAGTGAAATTCAAGTCAGCCCTGCTTTCACTGAATGTAAATATAATGAGAGGCTTCTCTGGTAAAGACTGGGTTTTGGATTATTTTGTTTTTTTAAAATCTGTTCCTGAGTTCACAATTGACTTCACAATTTTCCATTTTTTTTCCAGAGATAAATTTTGAGGATGTTTTGATTAAAATAGCATACATACTTCCACACTGCCATTTCTTGCATGAGTTAAAGGCAGACGGTGAGGGTATAGATGTAAAAAAAAAAAAAAAGAAAAAAAGAAAAAAAGAAAAAAAAAATGGGATTAGGAGAGGCTGAGATCCATGCATACCGATTTGTGGTTCTTGAGGTTCATTCTAACTGTGGCAGTGCACGTGTAAAATATAATAGCTGGGCAAACAGACGATTTCTAATCATCAGTATTTAGAATTGAATGTAATCCCCAAAATAACTGTTTTGAGAGTTGTGATTGCACATATGTGTTATTCATGGGAATTACCCACTTAGGCCTCATTGGACTGCTGTACCTAGCAGGCACCTGCTGTAGTATGATGCTGCTAAAGGTTTTCTAAAGAACGACCATCATAACTTTTCAGCTTCTGATTCCTTCTAGGAGACCTGAGCAGATGTCTAAGAAGCAGGCTCTTCCCCAATACATATCAATTTTCTAGTGGAGGGAATGTATCTGTACTTAAATATTTCCCCAAATACAAAAGAAAAAGCATGAAAGCACTGAACCAGAATTTCCTGTAGCAAAGAAAGTGCATTATCTTGCTTTATATTTGGATTTCAGCTGAGTTCTGTGCTTCAACAAAATGAGCAATAGATTTATTTTCAATTATTAGGACAATTTAAGAACCAGCATTCATGTTTGCAAGCGGGAGTTAACAATGTACCATTCAGCTCAGCACTACACAGCCATAAAGGTGGTTGATTGATTGCTGCTGCATATTTAGGGAACTCGAGAAAACTGTGCCAGATTGAAGAAGAAGAGGGTAATAGCTGAGATGAACTAGAAAGCAGCTAAATCACTTTGTCAGCTCCTTAAAGAACGCATACAAAAGTTTTGGCTCACAGGGAGGTGTCTCTAACTTGGGAAGCTCCAGTTAAATATGGCCCTGAATTAAATCCAAACCACAGTCTGCTAACATGAAATTTCCGTTAAAAGTAGCATTCCCACAGCCCTACATCAGATTAAATTGTAGATAAGTGACATTGTTAAGTAGTTTGGCTTGTGGATTTAGGTTTGATTATAGACAGCGTGGCAGTAAAATTACAACACCATTTCAAGAACAAATGAATTATGCATGCATTCATTTATTTGTTGTAAAACTTAGGAAGAACAGTTTGAGACAAACTTCTCTTTCAGGTGACTCAGGAAACAAAGCTGTATTGTAAGCACGCCATAAGCCACCTGTATTCTCTATTGAAATATAATTCCCACTCCCCCACTGTGATAGGAGATTGCAAATGCATTTCCATCTGGGGTGCCCTTTAATTCATTAGTCAGCAGTTTCAAAACTGGGGGTCATATTATAGACTATTCTTGGGATAGATCTCAGAAGAAATAAAATTCTGAAACTTCCTTCTATTTTAAGGAGTATTTCCTCCTAATAATCTGATTAGTTATTCAGCCTTTAGGAATCCATCCTTTTTCCCCTAGATATTCAGTAAAAAGGCATTTACCTTACATAATTCTAGGTGTGAACTCAGTAAGAGATAACAAAAAAAAAAAATACTGAGCTGAGAGCTCTTTCTTGGTGACAGCTGTAAATGCAAATAATTCTCCTTAAGTAACTTCTCTTCCAGGAGAAGGATGTGACTCCGGATAGCAGGCTGCTGAGGAGAGTGAGGGAAGCTGCACTGCGGACTGAAAACCTCTCTCCTTTTATACATATGAAAACTGCCACCTCTCTCACTGACTTTTTTCTTGCCCTTGCCATCTGCAATACAGTCGTGGTCTCCACAACTACTGAGCCAAGACAAAGGGTAATCTAACTTTGATTAACTATTCAAGGGAAATTAATTATGCTTGCATTTAACAACATAGAGCAGTGTTCAGTGAAACCTGAGCAATGGTTATTTTGGGCACTCTTCTCTAGTTCTTTTACCTTTTGTGTAGTGTGTACCATCTCACTGCCTACGTACATCCCTACCCAACAAGGCTCTTTATGTTTGATGGATAGCTATGACTACCATGCTATCTGCACTTTCCCTTTTAGATTTAATATTACATTTACTGTAATAAATATGCTGAATGTACTGGGTTTTCTCTTATCTCTCAGGCCGTTAACAGAATCACAAGAGTCTTGATTCCATCTCTACTTCAGAGGCAGAGACACAAATCACCATCAAATTTGGATGTCACTTCACAAACGACTCCTCTACAGATTTCCCCAACACAGTTAAATAGAAGAAAAAAAAAAAAAAAAAACATTGCAGCTCTTTTTTATTAATGTCACTTAGATGCCAAGAAATATGTTGCGGTTTTGGAAAATATCTTGTAGCTCACATTTGTTTATTTTTAACCATGGTAAACGAAGATTTTCTCATAATTTCTAGGTTACAGTCCCACCACCAATAAAACCCTCAGGAATCACCCTGGAGAAGATTCATCAGATATTTCAGCGGCTGAAACTAGTAAGCCTTAGCCAGTCTTTTTCATCTTCTCAGTCTAGTTCAGACCTAGGAGCTAGCTTCAGTGCAAAGAACACAGAGGAGCATCTTGCCACGCTGGATTGCTGTGACAACGATGACAGCTGCTGTGACAGCAGTAGGGGCGCTGGGCTCCAGGACAAGAGCAGCACAGACATTGGCAGTGCTTCCTTGGATGAGGTTTTTCAGTCCGTTTCTCACGGAACTTTGCCAACAGACTTTTGCTATGAGGCTGAGAGCCCAGATGAGGCAGCACTTGTCTATGCTGCCCAAGCATACAGTTTTACTTTAGTGTCCCGGACTCCCGAACAGGTGACAGTACGGTTGCCACAGGGCACACTTCTAACTTTTGATATTCTCTACACTTTGGGATTTGACTCAGTAAGGAAAAGGATGTCTGTAGTGGTGAGACACCCTCTGACCAAGGAGATCATTGTCTACACAAAAGGAGCTGACTCTGTTATAATGGACTTGTTGGAAGACCCTGGCAAAGGTAATTAGTCAAAGAGCTATTTCTGTTGTGTCTCCTACACAGAGGCATAAGAAGTCTGCAGTACCCTTTTCTTGCATGAAATATTATATCTAGGCATCAGGAGTATAAAAAAAGAACAAGCTCTCCATGGTGTTATCCTTGCAGATCAGAACTGAGGTGCTTATTTAACCTGAGGAGTGCTGAGAATATGGAATGGGCTAATTAAAATTCACTGACGATGCTAACCCATGTGGATTGTGTACTCTGCAATAATACTGTCATAAGGAGCTGACCATGGTATTTTAGCTTGTCAGCAAGAGTGCTATAACATTAAAAAACAAACAAACAAAAAGCAAGTAATGTAATCTTAAAGGATCCTTACTGAGCTTTTGGTTTATGCAACCCACAGCCACTTGGAAGTGAATTGCTGTTACAATGAAGTCCTGTTTTCACTAATGTCCACCCTTAGGTCATTAAGTCTGAAACGATCTGTGCTTAACATATGGAATATTTTCCTTGTATTTCACAGCTGATACTAATGCAGAGAGGAGAATGAAAAGAATAAAAGACAAAACACAGAAGCATTTGGACTACTATGCACGTGATGGCCTCCGAACTCTTTGCATAGCTAAGAAGGTAAGAAGGCATTCCCTAATGTTTGCAGTTTTTATCTGTATGTCATTAGATTTATTAGAAAAATGCAGTAGTTATAATGCTTTGTTCCTTGCAAAACAAGACTGAGCACATTTTATGTCCCTCCCTTTGATTGCTCTGCATTCTTTTTCTTCTCTTTTTCTCCAGTGTTTGGCCAGTTTAGGCAGAGAATGGATTCTTCATCAGCCTCAATGCATTCATTTCTGTTTATCCTGTGGTAACTCTAGGTGACCTTCTCTAGCACAGATTCCAGAAAAGAAACAGAAAGTCCATAAGAAAGGCAACCTTCTGTTTTACTTGGCATTCAGCTTTCCAAAATCTTGTTCTCAGCCTGGGTCAGTGCATTTTAGCCTGATACAGAAGGTGTCTGAGCAATAAATGGGTCATATTCAAACACTCGAGAAATGTGGAGTAATCTTCAGAATCTGTGCTCCAGTCCAGACTCTGAGCTGAGGGCTGTGGGAACAGCAGTTTCTGTAGGCCATGTTTTTAATACTTAGCTCCCGCATGCCTTACTCATTGCTACCTGTTTCTGCAATCTTAAATTGAAAAAGTTTGTGTTGTTCTGAAGGCAGCAGAGTACCATAACAATCCAGGAGTTAAGTCTCACAATCCAGAGTGTCTGCATCCTTCTTCTCTTATTTAAATTTAAAATGAGTTCTGCTTAAATTGTATTATGCAGATCTTGAGTGAGGATGACTTTCAGAAATGGGCCAATTTTCGTCAAGAGGCAGAAGCTGCAATTGACAACAGAGATGAGCTGCTAATGGAGACAGCACAGCATCTGGAGACCAAACTCACCTTGCTGGGTAGCTAAAAATATGAATTGTCATTGCATGAAGTATCACTTGCTCTTCTCTGATATTCTTGGCAATCAGACAGACAACAGCTTATGCTAGTTTATATCAAAATGGCTTCCTCTGAGGTTTGAAAATCTCAGGGCAAGAGTACACAATCCAGTGATGGTGTTTAAACAAGTTCTTACGCATTTTGAGTAGCAGTAACTTTGAAAAGGTGTACTGAAACTTTCATGTGGCATGAGCAAAGAACATGTTCATCAGATGTTACTGCAGCTCTGCTGACATGACAGATAATGAAGTTCCCATAACTTGATAGCATTGGTGTCCTCAGATAAACCTATAAAATGTTATATATTGAGTTTATTTTTGAGCACAAATTCCTAGGGAATTTCTATTCTAGAACTGCATTATAAAAAATGGTAACTGCACAAAGGCATTCTTGCTAGCAAATTCCTGCCGTCGTATCACTGTCATGTTTGCTTTCTGAATTTTGTAAAATAGTGATATTTCATGTTAAAAGTTACCTCTCTGGTACTTGTGCATCATCCAACTCTGTAGTATCTTATCCACTTTCACCTTATTCTGTTAAATTGCAGAGCATTTCAGTGCTTTTTTTCTTCATTTTTCCAAATATTTTGGTCTTTAAGACTTTGGTTTTCAGATTCACCCCATTCTCATCTTTCTCTGCATACAATCTTTCCCCATACTTTGTTATCCTGAATTTCTACGATTGAAAACTAGTGGCATTATGACTTCTCATAATCTCTGCAATGATTTTAAAAATTAAAGTAATAACATTAAATGCCATAAGCAGAATGACGTAAGAAGTAATGTAGGTCTTGTCAGAATCTGTTACCTTTGCCGACTCTAAAGGCTCTGTGTGCATTCATACTTCATTTCACAAAAACTGTTATTTTAGCTTGAATCAATATCTATAACACACCATGTTTATAGCATCTCCAAACTGACCTCTAGTGGAAGAGATAAGAAGAAGAGTATTTTAACATTCAGGTGGTGATTTGGGTCTCGGATGAGTGTGGCATCTGTTTTTTAAGTTTGCACATTTTAAAGAAGAAAACTTGCTGTACCTTTGCTTTTCCCTTTGATGAGTGGAGCCTCTAACTTGTCAACAGGATAGCATTCATTTAAATAGCCAAAGTTCATCTTTCCTGGTTGCATATATGGGGCTTGATGCAGTACTTTAAAAATGCATATGGTGTAATTCCTCTGCCAGTACATTGTCATTTTGGATTATTAAGAAGCACAGAAATGCATTGTTCTAGCATCAAGTAAAATGAAGAGCCAGAATTTGATTGATGACAGATTTAGGTCTTAATCCAAATGCAGATTTTGTGCCTGCGTGCTTATTTGCCGGACAGTACATTGATTCAACTCTTTATAAGCTCAGGATAATAACTGAATCATTTTTCTTTAAGAAAAAGAAAGCAAGATGCTTTCCAAATGAAAGAAAATCAGTTCACGTCGTCTTCTCCTGTTTGCCCAGGAGCAACAGGGATTGAAGATCGGCTGCAAGATGGAGTGCCTGACACTATTGCAGCGCTTCGAGAAGCTGGGATACAGATCTGGGTGCTGACAGGAGACAAACAGGAAACAGCAGTTAACATTGCATATTCCTGTAAGCTCCTGGACCAAAGGGACACTGTCTTCACCATTAACACAGAAAATAAGGTGAGTGCAGAGAAATAGAGAGTGCTGTCTCTCCGTTTCTTCACAGCTTGCAGCTTGACACTGTTCTGCTTTAGGCTGCAATCACCACAAGAAAACACAGCTAAGTCAATGAAACTGCATTAGGCCATATACTCTCCAGACTGCATGTAACAGGATGAGCTGGAACACAGGACGTGTATAATTTAGTTCACTTAAAATAAAACGAGTTTCCCAAATAAAATCTATCTTTTCTAAAAATGACCTCTCTAGTGAGAATAATATACAGTTGTGATTCCTTATACATGCAGACCTGACAAATGCTGTGTCTGATTCCTTAATAGCATTGATAGTTATCTTTTCACATTACAATGGAAATTTCAGCTGCAGTGGTATTATAAATCCAGGTGATATCTGTAGGAATTTGGGCTTTTGGAAAGTACTTGCATGAGTCACTCTGGGAAAAAAATAAAAAAAATAAAAAAAGCAGGTGTAGATTTAATGAAATTCAGAACTTTTTAGTTGGATGTTCCCAAATAGGATTAGGCTGAACAAAAGTGTCTTTTTGAGTAAGCAACATTTCACCTTCTCACATAGTTAGACATAGTTCTTGTGGAGCGGTTGAAGAAGCAGTGACTTTATTGACACTCCTTTGTGGCAAGCTTAGTTGTAGATGTGCACAGATATTCCCTGAATTTCCTTGGGCAACAAGAAGGTCAGATGGTGGGAAAGGCAAACATGCTCCGAAATGGAAGTAATCAGTTGAAGGGCATTACTGACAGCTCCTGTGGCTCATGAAAATACAGAGAACTATCAGTAGTGCAATCTATGGCTACTCCTAAAACCACCTGGACAGAGAAGAGAAATAGAGAAACTTTCAGCAAAGTTAGATGCCATTAAGGACAGTGAGGATTAAATGCTTTAGAAAAACAGCTCTTGCTTTTGCAGATTTTGAAGCAACATTAGTAAGGTACCTGGGAAACCATCGCTTTCAGCAAGTGGGATGTCCACTACAGTGCACAGATTCATGTCTCTTTGCTCCAAGCCTCCTGGCAAGGCAGATGGCTTTGAGAGGCAGACTTAGGGATGAGCAAGTTCAAGCACTGTGGCTCAGCTAGAACCAATTGCAAAGGGGAAGCCAGTCTTTACCATTTCTAGTGTCCAGAAGGCCATCTGTGCTGTCCTCATCCTTATTTTGTAGTCAGTGCTCTCTTACCCACCCAAGTGCTGTGAGGGGCAGCATGGTGCTGCTCTGTTCTCTTTGTGCAGTGTACACTGTGAGCCACACTTAGCAGCAATGAGAGCTGTCGTGAGAAAAGCCTTTTTGTAGGTAGAAGGTCAAAGGGAGAAGGCAGGGCTTCTTTCTGGGCTAGGCAAATCACTTGTCATGCTTTCCTCCATTTTTCTCCCCATAGAAGATAGATTCCTAATCCAACCTTGATTTTCTCCATAAAGCTATTGTGAGATAATTAAATAATGTTAAAATACTGACTGTTTTTCTTATGATAGGCAATTGTATAGAACAGTTAGATGGCCTACTTTCTAGCTTCTTTTGTCTGCAGCTTGTAGCTCTCCAAAAAGGAATAAAATCCTATGCAAATGTCTCTCTCTTTTAATGTCACGGAAATAGGGAAACACACAAAGATGATATGGAATTTGGCACGGAATGCATTCCTTGCTTCAATGTGTAATTTCATTTGATACGCGTATCTGCTTTAACGGAAGGCAGAATGAATATATTTAGGATGGAAATTAGAAGATGGTTTCTGTCAGAGGAGGGATGCTGCGAGCAGCACCGCCCCACCTCCAGGAAACAGTTACTTGTGCCCACCTACAGCACCCGGCAGGGCCATCAGGCTGGGATGCATGCTGCATGCACATAGATGCTTGCATGAATATATTCAAATGGTTCGTGGTGGTTCAAAATGAAGCCAAGGGTACAGGTTCTGGGAAGCTTTCTGATAGCTGCTGTGGGGGAAGACAAATGATATCAGCAAAGGTCCTTTCACAAAATCCCGTTAATTTTGATCAAGTTAACTCTTAAACAAAATATCCATTGAAATACAAAGTGTTTGATGGGGGCTAATAGAAGATGATAGCTGAAGTGAATTTAGGTGGAAAATACCACAGTGCTTCTTTGTACCTATGGGTAATTTTCTACTACCAGAAATTCATCTTTGTTCATGCCCAAGTTCTTCCCCTGCAGGATTCCAAATTCAAGAGGTTGAAATATTTTAGCATCTTTGCCTGTTTTTCATTTTGCTGTCTGAATCAATTTTGAGCACTGCATCAAGAAATCCCAATCTTTTATGCTGTGCCAGATAATTTTACCCAACCTTTTCTAGTGCTGAGGAAGATGTGAGGCTTAACAACAAGAGGAGACAATTGCAAGGGTAGCAGTTGGGGAACCACAGTGACAGTGGGAAAGGACTGTCTTTCCAGCCCTAAGCCCAGCAGCTTATTAAAATGCTGGAAATTAGCCATCTTCCAGTAAGATGCAACACAAACAGGCAGTTTGGAGGGATTCATTTAAAAATGAAAACCCCAGCAATCTTGGAATTTCCCATACAATTTTTGGTTTGCTCACAGACGGATGATGTCGCTTCAATATTTTTTTGAGATTTCAGCATGCAGGCTAGATGTAGCTCTTTATTAGGTGTCAGAGGAACATTTGATTCCAGAACCTCCCACTGAAGTGTAATTTAAATCTTGCAAACATCCTACACATCTACCTTATGCAACACAAAGTGAAAATAACGTTTCAGAACTGAGTCATCACTCAATAAAGCTGACAAAAAGGTAGGAAAAGGAGTGATTAGCTCCTCAGGTATTTGGTACTGTGCCACCGAAGGAGGACTTTTAGCACTAACAGGCAGCAAAATAACTTTTAGATCATTGTGGTGTCTTTTTGATAGTGGTTCACCAAATTGGGAGATCTGTAGGGGAGCAGTGAAAGTGCCTCCATCAATCGGTATGGGATGCTACATCCACTCAGGCTGTGTGCATGTGGAAAGGGGCTCTGATCCAAAATGAGGCAAATTTGCTAATAGGGAAAGGCTTAGCCTGTGTCTGAGGCAGAGAACTGTGTAATACAAAGCTTTATTTCTGTCCCTTTGACTCAGACCTGATTTGTGACCTAGAAAAGGCCAAACTGTCAAAGTTACTAATTTGGAACAGCTGAACCTCTTGTTTCTCTGCCATCATTTATTTCTGATGGAAGCAAGAGCTGGACTATCTCAAATAATTCACATCAGAGCTTGTTTTAAAAAATCACCTTTAACAAAATTTTTTTTTTCTTTCTGAGCTCTCAGCATTGCAAATAGAAATATGTCCTCCTGAAGGGAGCTTATTTTCTGTTTTGAAGTAATTTCTTCTCATAGTTAACTACCTGATAAGATGTGCAGTGTTTTCACTGAAGGATTTGATGTCATCACTGGAATAATCTCCAATCTGATGAATTAGTGCCTGCCTTTCTCAGTCAGTTTTCCCCAATGTTCATCTGATAGGCTCCAACCCACTGGCACGATTATACAAACACACACTTTGTAAGGTGCTGTGCTGTGAAGGGAGATAGAGATAACTATTTCTAGCAACACTTCTGTTTTCTCACAGGAAACTTGTGAATCGCTCTTGAATTTAACCTTGGAAGAAGTGAGGAAGAGCTATGAGGTTGAAAAACCACAGAGGAAACTTTTTGGCTTTATCCCAACATCTTTACCAGTCTCTGAGACGCCCGGCCCTGAATTTGGGCTGGTGATCGATGGAAGGACGCTGGACATCATCCTGCAGGGAGGTCTGGAGGAGCGGTTCCTGGAGCTGGCGCGGCTCTGCCGCTCGGTGCTGTGCTGCCGTTCCACCCCTCTGCAGAAGAGCATTGTGGTCAAGCTGGTGCGGAGGCAGCTCAAAGTGATGACCCTGTCCATAGGTACCAGTCTTTGGAATCTTACAGCAGAAAGAGGGAAGCGGGTTCTTTCCCTGTGAGTTATGAAAATGTATGGAATGTGTACACTGCGTGAGCTACTTCTAACTCCCCTTGGATAGACGCAGTGGAAAACAAGTACTGAATAGTCTTTCCTGACCAATAAGCATATGGAAGTCCTCCTTTAGCTTCCAGTACAACCCCCATTTGAACAAGATGAAAGCACTCCGTGTTCCGTAACTCCCAGTAGTTCCCCTTCAAGCACAGCACTGCAAACATATGTACACATTCCCCGTGGAATCCACTCACCTAGGGAAGCAAAGCAGTCAGAAATGGTTACTGTTTTGTGTTTTCACAAAGGCCTTTTCCTGTCAGATTTTCCCAGCTGGTGAAAATAGCATTATTCCCAGAGTAGCATTAAACACCGACTCCTTCGCTTTTTACCTTCAAATAATGTGAAATGTGTTGAGTTTCCTGCTCACTGTTGGTAAGTGATCCCGCTAAAATCCTTGCAGAATTGATTTTTATGACTTAAAACTAAAAAGTACATCTCTGTGGACCAACAAGGCATATCAGAAAAGGAAGAGCCTGGTGTATATTAAATTTCTTGCTTTGCCTCAGATTTCAAAATACAAAATTTCAGCCTTCCACTCCATTTCATTTGCTTTACCAGGTAACCTAATTCACAGTCTCCACATTGCAGGCAATCATTGCTGTTTCTTTCCATGGAAATTTGGTTATGTATTCAACATATTGCTAAAAGTTGAAAGGAGCAGAATAACTCCTGAAATTGGCTTGTTACGTTGTCAACTGCAATAAAATTTGTCATATAATTCAAAGAGTTCAGTGAAATAGGGTGCTGCAAAGCATGTTGTTGAGCATATGGAGTTCACCAAGCAGAAATGTACAAAATAGTGCAGATGTAGATGGTGTCTGGGTGTCCGTGCCACCAGCCAAGCTGGTTCCAGTGCCAGGCTGAGGAGGATGTTCCAACCAAGATCAGAACCCAAAGGTCACAATTGCTTGATGCCATCAGTTACCCTAATGAAGATGCATGGTACAACATAATAGCCTACATTTAACAGCACAGCTGTGTTTATTTTTTGTTGGTTTTTTTTTTAGCTTTACCATAGTCATGTTAAGCACCCTTTCTTATGCCTTTTTTGTTCACTTCTGTCTTCCCTTTCTAGGTGATGGTGCAAATGATGTAAGTATGATTCAAGCAGCTGATGTTGGAATTGGAATATCTGGCCAAGAAGGCATGCAGGTATCCCGTCAGTTTACTTCCTCTTCTCTTTTGTCAAACAGGTTCTTGCTCATTAATAAGTTTCATAGCAGCCCTGTATTCTGAGTACCACAGGTTGGCATTATTGCTGTCATAAAAGAATATGCAGTCCATAATTGCGAGTCCAGATAAAAAAGAGAGATTGAGCCAACAATTAGCATTCATGGAGAAATAAGTATTTGCTCATAAGCCTGGAAAATTAACAGATGCCTGTCCACTTTTAAGTTAGCATCTGGTCTCTGAACAGGCTCTGCTATAGCATTTTCAGATTTTGTTGATTTTCAGTGTTTTCTGCCTCAGATTCTTTGCCACATATCCCCACTTCTTCTTCTCATCAGATGGAGAGTTCTGCAGATAAAGAAATTTCTCAATTATTTTTATTACAGTGTGCAATAGTAGAAAATTGTTTCAAAGTCCATATACAGATTCCATCTCACTGGATGGGAGAAAAAGATAGATTGTAAAGTAACTTCTGTTCTCTTTAATGAAGGCTGTGATGGCTAGTGACTTTGCAATATCCCGATTCAAGCATCTCAAAAAGCTGCTTCTCGTCCATGGGCATTGGTGTTATGCTCGCCTGGCAAAGATGGTGATTTACTTTTTCTACAAAAATGTGGTAAGATGATTAAAATTCTGGAAGCTTTCATCCTAGCAATAGCTAATTAAAAGAGTGCTTTAGGTTTGGTTTTTGAAGACACTGCTCTCTTTTTATTTTTTATTTTTTAATGAAACTGCAATTCCTGCCTCTCCACTTTGCAGAAGTTTAGGGTTTGCTATTTCCATCTTAGTAATGTACTGCATAAAGAATAGAGAAAAATATGGAATCTAAGTATCCATTGAAATAGCATTATTCCATGGGGAAAAAGGAACTCAAGGTTTTGTAATTCTATATAGCAGTTCAAGAAACTTTATTAATAATACCCATGAGTTTCAAAATAAAATTTGCATAAGGAGCAGCAGATTATTAGTGCTAGAATGCAAAGATGACTCTGCACTAAGAAACGATTGCCTGTGAAACCTGATTTTTTTTGCATTTAATTTGATAGGAACCACTTGCAAGCAATGATGCAGTCATATCTGGCATTTTTATTAAAAATTTAATGTATATGCAAATTAATCGCGCATTGAAGAATAATGTAAAGTGGATAAAACTGACAGCAGTACAGTTTCTGCAAGACTGTGCAAACAAGTCTATCTGACACGAAATGTACTCTGAGCATGAAAGACTGTTTACTAAGAATTCAAAGCATCCATATTTTATTTTTTTATATATAATTTTGAATAAGGATTATGTCCTGTCAGTGTTAACACTTGTAATGGAAATGGAAAATTTTCTTTTTCTTAACTGGGCACCCTTTCACAGTTCAAAGGAAATTGCAATGTGAAAAAGCCCTCCAGACCAGGATGCTGCTGTTCTATTATCTCTTTGGTACCATTAGGGAGCAGGAGGCCTTTGATTCCATACTGACAGCAAGCCTGTAAAAGGATTTTAAAGTCTGGCACTCAGAGCTGTGGACAATTTGTTTAATTATTCTCCAGTATTTTCTTTAAGAAACCTAACAGCTTTTATAAAGCTGTATCATAGTGGGTCAGTGTGAAGCAGTCCCTTAAGATATACTGCTTTATGGAACAACACACAGAGATGTCTTCTGAAAGCACCTTTAACTAAAATAATGTATTCTTTGGAAATTCTTAACTACCAGTGTGCTGCATAAGCTTCTTTGATGGGACTATGGGAGGTGTAAACTACCTGTACATTGCAAACTAAAGGGTCCACATGAGCTTTCAGAGTAGGGAATAATGAGGTGGGAGAGGGAGAAGAGCATAAAGGAGAAGCCACAGGAAATGTGCATCTCCACTGCCTTCACGACCCAAGGAGAAAATACATCAGCGTGAAGGGATGTGCTTTTGCACATATGAGGAACAACAGTTCAGCTTGTAACAGAGCATTGGGTTTGTACTTGCTTCTCCCACAGAGCTACGTCAACCTGCTCTTCTGGTACCAGTTCTTCTGCGGGTTCTCAGGCAACACAATGATAGATTATTGGCAGATGATTTTTTTCAATCTTTTCTTCACCTCGTTGCCCCCTCTGGTCTTTGGAGTTCTGGATAGAGATGTTTCTGCAGAAACACTACTGAGCTTGCCTGAGTTATACAAGAATGGGCAGAATTCAGAGGTATGTCTTGATACTTGAATAACTGCTTGGTAATCCAAAAGATGACATTGTTTTTGGTTTTGTGAGAAGGGAGAGAATCGTTTCAGACTCAACTGGAACCAAATTATCTATTTATATATTCTATTTTACTGATATCCACAAAAAGAAGGGTTAATAGTAACTATCAGAAGAGCTCCTAAGGAATATACAACTGAAGTTTCATCTTGGGAGTAAGTAGAGTGCTTGTTCGTGGTTGGAAGATGTAAATGAAAAGGTTTATTCTGCCATTAAATTTATTGAGCAATCTGATTTGGTACGAGTTTGCTGCATTATAATAAATAAAGTGATATACTAGTGAATCAGACCTGTATTTGTTGTTTCTGACATGAAGAAAAGATGATGGAGCAAATAAGTGTGTGTGTATTATATGTAAACACACCATATATAGAAAAAAAAATCCAAATGACAAAAAAAAATGAGTGAATCCAAATGACAAAAGAAGAATGAGTGATTAAAAAGAGAAATATAACAAATGTAGGTTGAAGTAGTTTGGCTGGTTCCTGATTAAACTCTGCTGAGATTTGGTGTTTCAATCAGTCTCAACGTACAGAGAAAAACTGTCTTTAAAAGACTGCAGCACACTGAAAGGAAATGTAAACACTTAAATCAATGAACAGCTAGACTTTTATTTTCTACTCTTGCGTTCAGAAACAGACCTGTTAGATATATAAAGGTTTATGTCAGAGTTAGGTGTTCAGGTTGTTCCAATCCAAAGGTGTTCCATTTATTTACTTCTTTTACTTTAAACTGTCAGAAATGGTAATGCTCAGGAAATATATGTGTAAGACTATATTAAGCTTTTTCCTCATATTGTTTGTCAGTTTTAGAAAACTGGTCTAATCTCTGTATGTTTGTGACAAATGCATCTATTTACATATGTGTGTGTGAGAGAGTGTGTATACACAGTGAAACATATTCCCAAATTGTCTTAATATTTTCAATTGGAAATTATAAAAATGAAAATGGGCAAAATTTTATGTGTTCTTTGTTATAGATCACGAAATTGCAGGAATTAGGAACTGTTCCTATCTCTCCTTCTCATAGTAGTTGTTTTCCTTATCATGGACTGTGTTTTTTATCACTGACAAGTACTGTGGGGTTCACATCATGTTTGGTAATGTTTTGAAAAATCTAGTCAAAGGAGTGCAGAATGTGGTGATTTTTGTAGGACTTCCCTTCTTAAGAGCTCTTGAACCTCACATATGTCATTGTGAAGAGGTCATTATTTCTGAGTTGATGTTGTCTGCCTTGAAACAGTAGGACCTTTCCTTCTGTCACTCCCAGAATGTTCGTGGCATCACAGGTCTCTAGATAAGTTTAAATACATCTTGCAGTCAAATTAAAATGGCACAAAATAGATGCATCAAGGGAAGGATCCTTAAAACAAATTAACTTCATCCAACTGTACAGGAAGAGCTGTTTTTGAAAAAGAATTTGAGGAAAGGGATCCTGTGGGGAAGGATGGAAGCAGTGATTGTGTTCCACTTACAACTGACTGGCTAATCTTCCCAGTAATCTTACTGTCTAGTTAACAAAGAGAAAATGTCTGTTCAGGGATAAGTCTTAGCTTTAAATCACCTGTTCAAGAGGCATTTGCTCGTGAAGGGAGACCAGTTAGCTATAATGAGTAGCTGAGCAGAAGAAAAACAAACAAATATGTCTGCAGGACAGATCAGAAATGTGCGTGCCATCATAATGACTGTTGTCTGTAAACTCCTACAGATATACAAGCTGTCGACTTTTATTATTACAATGTTGGATGCCTTCTATCAAAGCCTCGTTTGCTTCTTTGTCCCCTATTTGGTAAGTACACAGGGGTCATTCATATCCTCAGTCTCCAATCCTCTGTGAAAAATAGAAAAGAAAAAAAAAAAAAAAAAGGAAAGCTATCTTCTAAAAAGTCAAGGTTCAACACA